GACAATCAATGCCAAACGCGATATAAAATGCTCTCTTTAATCTTCATCATAACACAGATTTTCCCATCAAAAGTTCTACAGTTTCTTTCCCTACAAACTTCCAACAAAATAGCTGCTCTAAATACTATCCCTACAATCGAACGACATTTTTTCGTAATCCTGGAATATCCATTTGAAACAAGAGCTCTCCATGACTTATCGGCATCACCATTTGAATTCCCATCTTAACAAAGTCCCTCTCCCAAATAGTTCTTGTAAAAGAGCAATGCAAGAACAAGTAATCACAATTTTCTTCATCATCTTTACAAAGCAGACAAACGTTTTCCATCACTCGTCCTTTCTTTTGCAAATTATCTACATTTAGAGTTTTCTCTTGAAGGAGGACCATAGAAAAGTTTGAACCTTATGAGGGGCAGCTATTTTCCACACCCCATTCATAGAGTGTGACAAATCTCTATGCCTATTATTATAAAAATTATCTACATTTAGAGTTTTCTCTTGAAGGACCCATAGAAAAGTTTGAACCTTATGAATTTTCCACACCCCATTCAAAGAGTGTGACAAATCTCTATGCCTATTATTATAAGCAACATATATACTAATCTAACCGAAAAGACACCACCATCATTCTCAACCTCCCATATCACCTCATCTTTTAAATCCGTCGCAATATAACGGAGTTTAAATCATCCAGTAAAGCTGCAAATTCTTCACCCACTTCATCCGAAACCTTTTCATACAGAAATGACAAGTGCCAAACTTGGCAATTATTCATCATAGAACAACATTCCACTACCTTGGCTGCTTGGTTCACCATTCTTGCATACACCTACGGAAAGGCTAACTTCAACATGCTCTTTCCAATCCATTTGTGATGCCATAAGCTAATATTCTCTTCAGTACCCAGCAGCCACCTTACATTCCGCCTTACTGCCTCTTTAACTCTCACCACAGCCTTCCAATAATATGAGGCTTTCCAAAAATCTGAGGCTTGAACTCTTCTCATTTGGAGTACGACACTATGGAATCTCTGAAAACCCTATATTTCTCTCTTACCACCGCTCTTTTAATACTATTTGAAGGTGCGCCGTATTTTGATTGGTTAGAGCCTCAACTTTATACAAACTACACCCAAAATAATATCCTTTAAAGTCATAGCTATCGGAAAAGATTGTATTGTATATAGAGAGAATGTTAAGGATTTTTAGCTCCAATTTGATGAATGAGGCAAAGAGAGTGGAGATTAGGTTTCATCATCTTCACGTGCTCATGCAACCAAGGTGAGAGAAGGCCTACTTGCTGCATGCTAAACACATTTACAAGGGAATTGACCGAACCCGATTGAACACAACCCCAAAATAAAAAAAGTATATATTTAAATACGTTTATATATTATATTATGTTAAATATATACCTCTTTTATTTAAATATTATAACTAAAATATATGGTTATATTTATTTAAATATTATATATTAAAATATTAATTAAATAAGGGTGCGGTTTACATAGAGCCTAAGCTCTAAACAATCAAATTAGAACCTACCTTCAAATGGTATCGAGAAATGTGGTTTCAATATTGGAAATCTTTATGATAGCCTTGAAATATCTTTTTATATTTAAAAGCTTAAAAAATAGTGTAGATCTATAGATCTGAAAACTTGAAAATCTTGAAAATTGACGGTCCAAAAATGTGTTACAAAATATACTATTTCAAAATCTTGAAATCTATTTTTTTCTCATGTCCATTCTTCTTGATGTCGAGATGATCAATTTGAAGGTATTTGAACATCAAAACAACCTCTCCTAGTGAAATTTTTGAGATAGGCTCAAATTTGATTGTTTAGAGCCGCGACTCTATATAAACTTTCCCATTAAATAATAACACTATTCGGGGTGGGTCCACTTGGACCTTGCTCCGGAACGACCTGCCAAGTTCAATGTTTGGACCCATACCCGGACCCCGTTCGTCGGGTCCCAGGTCCATTGCCACCCCTAGGTATATATGTAGGTACATGCGATTGGGCACAAGGGCAGCTAAGGAACACGTTGTACTCTGTATGCTCGCAGCTGCACACTGAGTCCACGTTTATGTGTATGTTGGGTTCATGGTTCGCATTATGTTTTGCACAGCTAGTCAAACCTAGTTGGTGGAAACTCCCATTCAAGAGAAACCATAACGGTGGGTGGTAGGGAACCCCACTGGAGTGCTTGATACCACACTATTTGGTAGTATAGATGAATGCTAAAATGTGAAAAAATCCACTCCCAATATTGTGATTGCTATAGAATTGTTTGGATGCGAAATAAACTGTTGATAGTGCGACTCCCTTCACTCTAAGGTGCTCCCACATGGTGAGACTTTTTTCTTTTTTTAAAATATTTAACGGTAACTTTTCATTGATGGGATGACAAATTACGAAGAAAAAGCAACAAAGAAAAAAAAAAGAAAAAAGCAAAGTTGAAAAGCACATGGTGAGACTTTTAGCTACATGAATGCATCAATGTCGGTTGTCTCTCTGCTAATGGATGAATGTGAACTATTGTGGCTCTTCTAGGTATTCAGTTACATGTTCACTGCAACTATCAGTCATTTTATGATCGTTAAAATCTAGAATAAAAAAAATCACTTCCTTTCAATTACATATAATGGTGGTAAGGTTTTTTTTTGAGAAAAGTCTCTAAACAATCAAATTTGAGCCTATCTAAAAAATTTCACTAGAAGAGGTTGTTTTGATGTTCAAATATCTTCAAATTGATCATCTTGACATCAAAAAGCATGGACAAGAGAAAAAAATAGATTTCAAGTTTTAGAAATAATGTATTTGTTAACACATTTTTGGACCGTCAATTTTCAAGATTTTCAAGTTTTCATAGATCTGCCTATCTACACTCTGTCTATCTACACAATTTTTGAAGCTTTAATAAGTATAAATAAATATAAAAACATATTTTAAGGCTATCACAAAGATTTCTAATATTGAAACCACATTTTTTTATACTATTTGAAGGTAGGCTCTATACAAACCGCACCCTTTTGTTTTTTTTGGGTAATTCAGTGGGAAGATAAACCCCTACCATTTTTTCAAGTAAATTACTAGTTACGAGTTAGCTTTCTAAAAGTATTAGTAAGATAGTGTTAGCGGTGAGAATAGAAACCACAACGTGTTAACTAGAATATGGGGTGCTACCACAGTGACTCTAAAATAATTTACTTGAATTTACTATTTATATAGACAGACATGCATGTTCAATTTTCAATCCATCATCTCTCTTTTGCTAACGCTTTGTCTACCAAAGGCAACTCTGGTACTCTGGATTCCTACCATTTAACTAGGCATTCAGATGACACATTTGCCACTAAGTATCTATCGGTCAGGGGCATATATCTTCTTGAGAAAACAACTATTCATACCTAAAAATAGGAAGATCTTTAGTTGCTGAAAATGTTTGACAAATTGTTTCATACATCATATGCTCTGTTTCACCCTCCTTTTTATCAAGAACAAAGCCCTCCATGGTCCAAGCCTCTCACGCTTAAATCTATGAACCATAAGGAAAACCATCAAATGGAGGATAGTTGATCGTCTTGATCAATGTTTAAAACAAGCGTAACCACCTTGAATTGCTAGGGGACCGATTCCTAGTTGACCGACCTGATTGTGGTGATTTATGAGTCGAAATATTGTATAGATATAGCAGAAAATAGTGAAAAATTTTAAAAAGAAAAAGAAGAAAAGGAGCAACCAAGCAATTGCTCCCCAAGCAATTCCAAGGTTCGCTGGCTCGCTCACCACCAATTCTGAACTGTGATTCCGAGTTGGCTCAAGAATTTTAAAAACACTGGTCACAAAAAAAAAGAAATATTGGTTTCTATGCCCAAAGTTTGAATAATTAATTGACGAGCTCTTATACGTATTCATGCTGATATAACAAAAATATATAAATTAATTAATGAGGTGTCCCAGATGTAAGATAAGGGGGTTACCACCTAGGATTTGAACATATTGGAAAGATCAATGGTTTGCAAGACAGAAGTCTCCATGCAAGGTTTCCTTAAGTCCTAAAAAAAATGGGCTTTACTTCATGCATTCTTCGATGACTGTTATGGGGATGTTCCAGTCAAGACTACCAAGTGGTGCTTAATGATCATGTAGTCCCTAATATAATCAAGCAGACTTTGATTACAAGGGATTGTATTCTATAAATTTGTTTATATTTGATCAAAAAGACCACAATCATTATTCGTTGTTAGATAAAATTCAGCTAAAATCCTTTTATAGAGTTCGAGAGATTTCTTTAGACTTTGAACAAAGTCAATAGTTACATTTCCAATTGTCTGATTTCACATGTAACAGTTGACAAATTGTGACATTCTCATGCCAAACATAAATTGCCGTATTGTATACGTTTCCTTGAGACAGTAGGCAAGTGACCCAAATCAAAGATGACCCAATCTTCTAATACAACACCAACTAACATAATACTATAAACTTAGTGCCTTTATAGATGACTCTTATCATCTCATACTTAATTTATTGTACATGGTAACCATATGAACACATGAACTGTGGTTGAAAATGGTCATCACCGTCCAATGAATTGCTTGGACCCTTAACAAGAAAGCAAGAGAGTGGATCACCTCTCCCTCCATCAGTCACCAACCTAAAGTCGGACATGATGGCCCTTAATCACGTATTTCATATACTCGTGGATCATAGTGTACTTCCCTCAGGTATAAGGTCCAGTGCAAAGTGTTCCAAGTGCTCTTTTTGTAACCCAACTTTAGGGCATAAGGGGAATAGTGGAAAAAGGAACACATGTAATTATCTAAGTTTAATATTCGAGTTTCCTCCCACTTAGTTTCAGTTATCAACTCAAAAGGATTTGTTCATAATTTCATATGCAGAATAAGAGCTTCTAAAAATGACTTCTTTCACAGTGATTTTGAAAGCATTCTTTGAAAACCCCTCACCGAAGAAGAATTCTATCTCATCCCTTCTGCTCAAATTCACAAACTAAACTTATCCATTTATCCATTTAAGGAACTGTATACTATGATCCACATGACCATAGAAAAACCTATGTGAAATTGCATCCTAGACCACTGGATACACAGTGATAACAAAATGGTGCGACCTACAAGAACATGACATGTGCTCAAAGGAAGGTTCCACTCTCTCTCCATCACCACCAACCATTCATTGGACACACAAAGACACCCCACCATGATCTCGTGGATTATCATCGTCATTATTATCCATGCCTTACCCCAACTATCTGGGGTCGGCTACACGAATCATGTTTTGTTCAGGATTAGGATTCTAATCAGGAATAGATACAGCATAGTTTTATGCTGACTGCCCCAACCTAAAACAACTCTCCTCTTTGATCCGGGCTTGGGACTGGCATGAACAGCTTGTGACGCGCCATTACCAACCATAGTCTCCTGAGTGATTTTGAGAATTAACAAAGGCTAGAAGAGCACCTTGGATATGCAAGGAGCTTGTTATTCCTTCAACTCCATATGGGCGTTTAAGCAAGGAACTTGTTATTCCTTCAACTCCATATGGGCGTTTAAGCCACTAAAAGTATGCAGAGGAGGTCCCAGCCCTCGCAGAGTTTTGAGCAACCAGAGCTTACTAAAATGGTTCAAGAGTGACTTTGCAAGACTGACCACCCCCACTTAAACCTGCAATGAAATAAACCGAGTTTAAGAAAGCAGTAGAACTCTTTTCATATAGATCTGGTCTCCGTGTATATTTATGCACTTTTCTTCAGTACTATAACTTTGACATACTGTCATAAAAAGTATCTTTTATGCATTAAAACATACATAATTTTCTTTCTCAGGAACCGATATTATCATTTTTACAAAATGAAAACAAGCATGCAAAAGAGTTGTTCCATTCTTTAGTAATTAAAAATATATATGATCTTCTTTTTGTGAAAACTCAGAAACTATTACATGGTTTCTGTAAAATGAAAACAAACAAGCAAGGAAAAGTGTTCGAACTGTTTAGTTTTCTCCATAAGTTAACATCTGGAGCATTTTACATTGTTTTTGTAATGGGAAACTAATAGACAAGCTTATGACAAATGACAAAGTTTTATAGAATCTTTCATCACACAGGTTCATTGTCCAATCAGAGATGAATTCAGTACTGAGTTCCAAATTACAATTTAATTTGTGAATCGATTACTTAATTAGCAAAAACAAAGAAGCAGCATTTAGCAACACAATGAATAACAAAATAACACAATAAAATAAACAAACTTTTTGTTGTTAGTTCAGAAAATAAAACAATGAGATAATAGCATTACCCCCACAAGTCCTTAAATTTCTAGAATCTGCTTAGGCTATCCAGCTGGTAGTAGAGAAACCGTAAATATCCTCATTCAACAATAAATAAATAAATAAATAAAACCCATAAAAGTACAATGATGATGTTTGGCTGAAAGTGGGGATGACAGGAAGCAGACGAGAAAACTAAATTATTATATTACAGATTTGTTAAGTACATTCAACCAGCAACCAACAAGAACTCAATCAAGAGAGAGAGAGAGAACAAAAAAGCATACAACAAATGTGTAATTAACAACATTGTAATAGAAACCACTCAAGAACATAACCTCGCTAGAGAAAAACCGAGCAAATAAAGCTAGCTAACCTTCATTTCATATCTCACCTCAAACAGATCTTCTAACTCAAGCCTTTACAGGTGAAAATAAAAAAGAAAGAAAACAATATAAACATATATGTAATAATGAAGTAACAGAAAGAAAAAGAGAAATCAGTTAGTGAGACCATCGGATGATTGTTTCTTGCCAAGATGCACATTGCCACCATTGTAGAGAGAGAAGCAGATTTTGTGGATTTCTTGTCAACTAATACAATTTCAAGTCAATCACTGGTTCGTTTTATTGGAGGGTTGGGAAGTGGCATCCATAGCACTGGGACCAGCAGTTTGAGAGAGGGGCATGTCATGGTTGTGTTTACCCTCATATGTAGAGATAAAAGCTCGTGGGTCATTCGATGCACGCTCGACATGCTTCCTTACATTGCACCTCAGGCTGGTGCATCTGTAATAACTTCTGAAATAACACAGACACCAGGCAGAACCAGCAGGGAAGGAATCAGCCTTCTCTCTAAACCAGAGAGGCTATTACAAGATACCTAAAAGAAGCATACATAAATAGATGTGTGCAAAACGACATGCTTGGAAAAACCTATCTATAGTTTTTGTGTGTGTATATATAAGAGAGAGAGAGAGAGAGAGAGAGAGAGAGAGAGAGAGAACGAACCTCTGTAGACTAAGTTAAGTAAAACGTTAGGTAGTCGTAGGAGGTAGTAAGTTAAGTTACGTTTTTAAGGTAGGTAGTAGGTAATACTAAATTAATT